GTTTTTCTATACTTTAATTTATATTATCCGTTATAATCACGAAAATGCAAGAAAAAAGAAAATTAAATTAACTGTATAATGATATTCATACTAATTCAAATAGAACTATTTTTCCAACTATTGTTTTTGTTGTTGTTGTTGTTTTTATTTAAATATAATAATTATTTAATATCATTAATTATTGATTTAAAATACAATAGTGAGAATTTGTAATATTTTCATGAAGCACAAAGTACAATTTCATAATTTTAACGAATATATTTCATTCTGAAGTTGCAATTATTAAAAAAAAAAAAAAAAACAATTTCAATATGCGTCCACAAAAAAAAAAGAGCCATCATTGGCGGGTAATGGGTTAATACACTTCGATTGATAGACAAAATTTCGAAAAATGTAGAATTCAAAGAAAAATGGAAAAAGTTGATCGATTAAAAATAACGATAATCCCCTAATGTAAAATAAGTCTAATCGTTTAGTTATTCTATACTTTGCCTCGTTTTTAAATAGAATTAATCTCGTGAGAAAACGAGAAAGGTTTTTTTCTTTCATCATTTTTTCTTTTCTTTCTCTTTCTCTCGTTCCTTCTTTTCATTCTTTCGGTATTTTTTTGTCTCTTTCTCTTTCTCTTTCTGTGTCTCTCTCTCTCTCTATCAGGTTACATTTCAGTGAAATAAGGATAGATAAAAAGCCATTATAAATACAAGAGGTTCGCGACGTGCTCCGTTAACCGAATCGTTGCATTAATTTAAGGGCCACCAGCGTGAGTATTATCACGTCCTCCGGAAACTTAGGAGTCGTATTGGGGAATGTCATTTTCTCAGCTCTACTTGACTTCGAGTGTTTAGCAGCATTTCTCGGTTTGGCCTGTTTTTTCATAGGTAAGTATTTATATTTTGTTCATTTTTATATTTTTTACATCTTATGTTTTGTTTTATAATCGATACTTACTTTATCTCGTTTAATACTCGCGTATTATTATTATTATTATTATTATTAATATTATTATTATTATTATTATTTCATATTCTATTAATATGATAAATATATATACAGAATATTAGGGGAAACAACACAACAACCACGCTTCGAATATAATATCTTTATAATTATACTTATCGCGCGATAATACGAATAATATTTTTATTTTTATTTCTTTTTTTGTTGTTGTTGTTGCTTTTTTCTGAAAAAAAAATAAAAAAATAAAAAAAATAATAAAGCTTATTTTTTTTAGATAAGATAAGTATCGTAAAATAATATTTTTTTTCTTTTTTTAAAGATGTATCTAAACGATTAAATAAAGTCTAAATTAAATAATTTCTATTTATGTATGGATAATCAATTTTTTTAGTCTGCATCCTGGTAACGTTTCTACTTCCAAAACCAATAAAGACATCGCCAGAGAGTTTCGCATAGCAAACAAGATTCTTACGAATGATTTTATAGATAAAAATGATTTATATCTACGAAATATTTTTGAACAACAAGATGCATATACATATACATATACATATATATGTATATGCATATTTAAATATATATATATATATATTTTTTATCGCGTTTTGATACATAACTGAATGAAAGAAAGAAAGAAAGAAAGAAAGAAAGAAAGAAAGAAAGAAAGAGAATGATAGAATGAGTGGCGTGTATCAGGCTGTGAAAAACATTTTTCGTAGGATGTACCTGACAAACGTACGCTTTTGTCGATTTCCTAATAAAAAAAACAAAAAAATAAATACATGACAAAAGAATTGTACACTTTTATCCCATGTGTCATATAAAACAACACTTCAATAACTTTATTATGACTGGGTAACAAACCATATATGAGATTAACCAAAATGAAACTAGGAATACGAAGGAAAGGTGGGGCAGGGTTAAAAAAGACGTTAAATAAATATTAATATTCATAATATATATATATATATATATATATATATATATATATATATATATATATATATTATTTTTATAATTTCAATTATATTATTATTAATTGTTAATTATCAATTTTTAATTTTTTATTAAAATAATATAATAGTATTATACTATTTTAGTATAATTAGTATAATAAATAATAAATAATATTTAGTATATATAGTATATTACTATACTACTAAAAACTACTATATATAATATACTAATTATAATAACTATTATAGTATACTACTATATTACTATATTACCAAAAATAGTATAATATTTAGGTGAACCGGAAAATAATGTCACCTCCTAACCTTAAATTGCAACAAATAAATTTCTAACAAATTTAGATTTTTTAATCAATAACATAATCAACCTTGTTATCATTAACAACCTTTCTTCATCTAGTATGCCAATTTTTAATATCAAATTGATGAAAATCGATCGATTATTGATTACAAAAAAATATACAAAATTGGGTATTTGTTTTACCGACATTACTTTCCGGTCTACCTAATACATAGTATATTACATATATATATATATATGAAAGGAAGAAATATTGGTATAGATATAATTGGAACGATTTATAGTATTGCGTAGATTCTCTCTCTCTCTCTCTCTCTCTCTCTCTCTCTCTCTTTCTCTAGTCCATGATAATTGCATTTCGTTCGCAAAACGCGACTCTCGAAAGGCAACCGAAGCGACAACAATTACAAGAATGACCCACTTGGCAAAGTTCCACCAAGCAAATCATTATACCGGATAACAACTATGGTCCCTCTCTCCTCGTTGTCGGATGTTATCTCTCTACGGAATGCAGTTTCTCCATTGCAATTCT